CGTTGATTTTCTCTGCCCTGTGCTACAGCATGAAGTTCGCGCGTTACCTATCCTGATTTTCCTTTCATCAACTTCTTTTTCTCTAAAATAGTGATCTAAATGCTCTTATATTTCTTTACCGTGGGAGTATTACCAGTCTACAGCTAATCTAGGCTATGCTAGAAGTACATGAGAGTAAAGCCACCTAAGATTGTCTATCCACGGTCGGATCCTGGATATTTCGTTTTGAGGAATCTAAGGCGGACCAAGTTCATCTCCTCCTTAAATTTGGCCCTCCATCCATAAACACTTGGTTGAATTCCTTTGAGGATAGTTGAATGATGTCTGACGATTCAAACAGCCCAGACACGGTTACCATCCATAAAAACTTGGTTGAATTCCTTTGATTTCCATGAAAAAAGACTACTTATAGCAGTTAGAAACTGCTATAGGGGCTGATCCGAGGCAGAGCTGGCACTCTGGTCTGGGGAGATATACCTCGAACATGCCATTGCAAACTGATTGACACGGTTACCATCCTAATTCACTGAAGAATTTGGAAGGAGCAGAACGCAGGATCTTTGATCATACTGCTGCTGGTACCGAGAACGTCCAGGCCTGGCCTGCGACTCGCTGCATCATTGCGACTAAGCCGTGAAGCTCCTGCGGTGTATTTGTACTTTGCAGTGCTGTGTTGTTACCTGTGCTGTATTCTCTTATCAGAGCTTTTGCTCTGTTTCTTTTCAGTCCAAGCATTGCTTGATTATAAACACTCTTGTATTCCCCTTCCTACTAATAAGTACTTCCTCTGTAAAGAAATATAAGAGAACGCTCTTATATTTCTTTACGGAGGGAGTAATAAAAGTTCAGCCTCGGGCCCTTCGATATTTTCACACCTTTATACGTAACTACAGACACACATCCTTTTCACAAATCTATAGCCATGTTATGCTTCAAATTATATGAAGCATGTCTGTTTTCCATACAGGTTATTCATGTATGCTCTCTCTTAACCATGTGAAATATTTTCAGTGTTATTTGGAAGATACAACATTCAACCATCCTAGCAGGAGATATAGATTACAAACATGGCGAACAATTTAGAACATACAAGTGCGACGACAAGGGAGTTTACACTCGAGTTGTTGAAACAAATTACAGATAACTTTTCTGAGGACCATGTCATTGGGCGTGGTGGGTATGGAGTAGTCTACAAGGTAATTGTTATTATTGCTTGCATATGTTGTAATTGTACTACCAGACGTTGCAAGAACCCATGGTACTTTTTTTGAACAGGGATTACTGGATGATGGGGAAGAGATTGCTGTCAAAAAGCTTCACTACATGCCCGGGCTTGACGACACACAGTTTACAAATGAGTTTAATAACCTTATGAGGGCCCAGCATCAAAATATTGTACAGTTAGTGGGCTACTGCTATTATCTAGGACATGAACGCTTCAAGTACAATGGTGAATATATTTTTGCCCCAGTAGAAGAAAGATTTCTCTGCTTCAAATACCTGCAGGGTGGAGGCCTTGACAAGCATATTTCTGGTATTATTGTGCTCTACTTAGCCCATACTATTGTTTTGCATGTAGAAAATAATCCGTAAATTTACATCTTGGTAATACACTGCATATTTCTACAGATGAATCCTGCGGACTCAATTGGCACACACGCTTCAGGATTATTAAGGGAGTTAGTGAGGGCCTAAATTACCTTCATAATGGATGCAAAGATTCTATTTACCATCTTGACTTGAAGCCTGAGAATATATTGCTGGACAAGAACATGTTCCCAAAAATTGGAGATTTTGGTTTGTCAAGACTTTTTCAGTCAGAAAAAACCCATATCACAAGCAAAATTATGGGAACAGTGTAAGTTCATACCTCATGTTAAATAATCAATTAATAAGAAAATACAGAAATAATTGTGGTCGATATATATCATGCAGTGGATACATGCCACCAGAATACATCGATAGACGAGCAATAACACCGAAGTTTGATGTATTCAGTTTGGGTGTTATAATCCTTCAGATAGTAGCGGGATATGATGGCTATTCCAAATGTGAACATATGTCTCTGCAAGAATTTCTTGAGCATGTAAGGAAGATATTTTACATAATGAACAGTAACCCATTTTCCGCAAAGATTATGATAGTCGTGTCGTGTCTAACTGTCCATGCCACCTTTTGCCGCTGTGTTCCACCTTTGCAGGTGCATGAAAACTGGGGAAAACGGATGCAGGAAACAATGTCATCACATACATCAGAGCAAGTTATTACATGCATCAAAATAGCATTAAGGTGTGTGGAGTTTGACCGAGAGAAAAGGCCTACCATAGCGGATATTATTGATGAACTGAATAAGATTGATAATGCCGAAAGTTCAGCTACAGGCAAGGTATTATATTTATATTGTTACACTGCTGACTGTGCTCCCTTGTATCTATGGATGATTTTTTTTTTATTACCTTCAACATGACTTCCCTTTTGTTGTGCCTTTCCTTATTGAAGAACACAGAAGAAAATGAGCACACTCTGGAAAAACTACCTGAGATTCAAGAACAAAAAAAGGAGAGTGCAGAAGACGGTAGCAGGTACTGATTTTCGTTTCTCACATGACAATCATGCAGTTGTACATGGGACTTATTCTTACCCATATATACCCGGCCATAACTCCATTTCCATGCATCTTACCAGATATGCGAGAACGAATCGCATTTCCACTCTCATGGAGAATCATGCTGAGTTGGCCGATTTCCCAACTGGCCCCATGGGCTCCTTGCTCCCCAAGTTGGTCGAGTTCCTCAGCGACGAGTACAATTACCTGGATGCAGACTTCCAGAAAGACGTAGAGTACGTCTACAATGAGCTGGTGGGCATGCAAGCTGCCCTGCACAAGGTGGCCGAGGTGCCACAGGACCAGCAGCTGGATTCTGTGGTTAAGCTCTGGACCGAGGAAGTAAATGACCTCTCATATCAGGTGGATAATACCGTCGATTCCTTTCTGGCGCGCTTCTGGGCCTCTGAGCTTGACACATCTCCGAACGTGCAAAGTCGGAAAAAACAACTTCCAAGGAAGACCTCCGGCGCGAAAAAGAAAGGGAATGGCCGAAAGAAGCGGGCGCGATGACGACTTAGGGCTAGGGCTGACAGAAGGCGGTAGCAATTGCTACTTGACAGTAGTACAAGTCAGAGCTTTTGAGACGGTTGTTTTAGGGAGCTTTTGAGATGGATTTGGTTAGGACCCCTCCTAACTGGCGAACGTTCGCCAGGGGAGGTTGCACATGCTCACCAAGACTGGGCGCATAACTCTGATCAATGCAGTGCTCACCTCCATCACCACCTACTACCTTACAATGTTTGCCCCTTCCAAGTGGCTGATCACACGCATTGACAAGCTCCGGAGAGGGTTCCTTTGGCGTGGCGAGGACGAAGCTGCTGGAAGCCATTGTGCAGTGAATTGGAAACAAGTGTGTTCCCCGACAAGATTTGGGGGCCTGGGCATCAAGAACCTGGCCAATGGCAATTGGATGAGAGGGCCGCAGCGGCTCACAACAACTACAGACCTTCACTGCTTCTTTTCCCTCTGGCAACATATTCAGCAAGTCAACCTCACCGATGAACCTGATGCAATCTGCTGGAAGACCTCATCATCAAATCATTACTCTGCATCCTCGGCATACGACCTCCAGTTCTTGGGCTCCATCAACCGACCTGCCCTGGACAAAATAATGGCATATCAAGTCTGAAGGAAAAGTGAAATTCTTCACTTGGCTGTTGGCGCGCGTAGAATACGCTTCCCCCTACCTATCGGCCGCGAGCCAGACGCTGTGACACTGCCGACAGATGTTCTCTCTGTGATCAGACTGCTGAAACTGCGGCTCGCTTATTTTGCCACTTCCCCTTCACTTCTGAAGTTTGTTTCAAGCTGCACTGCACCCTGCAACCCAGTCAAAATGCTGCTGCAAGCTTCAACAACATGCACTTCCTCACTGCTCAGGATTGGTGGGCTCGCCACAGCAATGGCACCAAGCAGAACGCCCAACAAGTCATGTATTTTGCGTGGAATATTTGGAACGAACGTAACCGGCGGGTCTTCAAGCACATCTCTTCGACTGCTGACGAGATTGTCTCCTTAATTGCGTCAGACTTGAATCATTTACGTGTAGCCTTGTGTAGACCCCCTCCTGAACCAGACTGAGGTTATCCCTTTTGTACCTTAAACTCTGCCTTATGGCAAACCCTCT